AGGATAAACCTGTAAAAATGACTGCAAACTTGCTCTAAACTGTTACTGTCAGTTGTGATTTCATTGGCCCAGATTTCTGCACCATACATAGGTATAGGTGAAATTAATTGGTCGAAAATTTTCAAACTAAGTGCTGGTGAGATTATTTTGTGGTTTAAGACTGTTTGTCTGATGCTGAAAAGAGCCTTCATTGATTTATTTTTTAACATAGATAAGTTTGTTTTAAATTTCCCATTTGGAGTAAATATTGCCCCTAAATAGCAAAACTCGCTATTAAACAGCTGTTATATCTTGGTTATTGATTTTAAAATTCATGTTTTTAATCAGTCTGTTGCTGCAATTAAATTAGAACTGGTTTATCAATTTGATCCCCAAATAATTCTGGCAGATCGTTCAGAAAAATGTTAAATAAAGTTGGTGATAAATTGCAGCCTTGCTTAACTCCACAGGTAGACTGAAATCCATCAGTTATACCCTCTGACAATTTAATTTTATATTTAATATCCTTATACATAGATTTTATTATTTCATAAAAGTTCCCCGTAATACCAATGTTTTGTAACTTGAGAAAGACCGCATCCCTCCAGATGCTGTCGAAAGCTTTTCTAAAGTCAACAAAACATGTGTATAACCGTTTTCCAGAACTGCTGCTTTTATTTTTATTATAAATTGTTTTTTCAACTGCTGTTTTTAACAGGAAAATTGCGTCTGTCGTTCTCCTGTCTTTCCTAAAGCCAAACTGCATGTCGGTACACAAATACACAAACAAAATTTGCAAAAAAAAAAACATAATTCAAGATATAAACACTGTTAAAAAAAAATTTGGAAGGTGTTGCTGTTCTTCAGGGAAACTGTTTTTAATAAATTGTGTTTTTGCTTTTCATTTGAACTTCCCGCAATTCATAAATTTGTTTATACGTTTGTTAGCCTCTCTCTTCTTGTAAGATATTCCGCTGTCATCTATAAAGTGAACATGACATTATAAAGTGTTCTTCATTCTTTGAACATACCTCACATATTTGTTTTTCATCTGGAGTTTTTGGTTTGGTATGTCTTCACTTTTTGATTTGGTAATTGGTGGTTAACGAGGCTAAATTTGTATTCTTACATCAGATTTTAAAATTGTACTTTGTTGGTCTATAATTTGTGGTACCGGTAGGTTTATTTTCTTTGAATGACATTTTATTGTGCTATACTACGGTATTTTGTATTGAGTTGTTTATTGACAAGCGCAGCCTCTCTCAAAATTTCATTTGATGTATTTATAATATTTTGCTTCCAGATTCTCAAATTCTATTTTGCTTCCAGATTCTCAAATTCTATTTTGCTTCCAGATTCTCAAATTCTATTTTGCTTCCAGATTATCAAATTCTATTTTGCTTCCAGATTATCAAATTCTATTTTGCTTCCAGATTATCAAATTCTATTTTGCTTCCAGATTATCAAATTCTATTTTGCTTCCAGATTATCAAATTCTATTTTCGCTTTCAGCACTAAAAGTGCTTTTTTCCCTTTCTGTTTAAGAATATTTATGGCCACTTTAAATTTTCCATTGCTGCTTAGTAACACTTGTAGATCCTAGAAGTCATTATAACCAGAGGTACATTACTTGGGGTTTGCAACTACGGTGACATAATACCAAGATCCCGTTACACTCTCGCTCTCACATAAGCGTTCCAACTCAAAACAAATGCGAATGCGCATGCCCGAGGTAACTAGGATACTGGGATGTCCAGGTGGATCAAAATAGCTGCTCACAACATGACGGATTACGATAACTATATTTTCTATACATTTTCGATGTATTACATTTTTTCACTATGAATGTGGTAATACATATGTTTTATTGTTTTATTACAAACCGCCTATGTCATGTCAGAAGATCGTAGCATCAGTCTCGCTATCTACGAGATGAGACTTGAATGGGATCTTGGCATGATGTCACCATACAGTACTATGTGTGTTGCAAACCCCATGTAATGTACCTCTGTTATAACTTATATTATCACACATTTTATCAACATAGAATATCATGACTCTTTACTTGTTTCTGAAAATGTCACAAAAAAAGACCTTATGACTATTGAAAATGTCAAAAACATTTTGAAACAAAGTTTCTAGATTCCTTGGGTTGCTCGCATACCCATTTGTAAGTTTCTACTAGTAACCCCCCCCCCCTCCCGTTGTACCATACTCTGATGATCCGTGGTCGACCCCTGTAACATCGCGCGAGTTATAGCGCCCTCAACTAAGCACCGGCTCATGAATAATACATCATTCAAAATCGGATCGTACGAGTTAGCTGATTCCTCACTTCCGTTCGATTCCTGGCTGTTCTGTATATAATACCAGAACCAGTAGATGGGCTAAGTGTACTTACCATTATAATCTCCAGGATGACTGAGTGGGTGCTGCTAGAGTATGTATTTCCCGATCTCTGGACGGTTGCCGTGACGCTCACCAGCATTATCCCCACTGTGTATTTATTGCAGTTGTGGAATTTCTGGGAACGATCGAGAATTCAGGTTCGTGTTTAGATGTTCTCTCTGGAGTTCGTTGTTGCCATGTTTATTTGTTATCCATATGCACTTGCTATCAGTTTCCTTTCAGTTAAAGTGTTTTGTTTTAGTACGATTTGTCAAAACAGCTCAAATAATGAATCAGACATTGCTTTCACTGTATTCGGGGCGTGACGTACTACCCTCGCTGATAAACAATCGCACGAACCACAGTCCTGTGCACGAACAGACTAGATTGTAGTTAGGCCGAGTGTAGGTTATCGGTCACCAGACATGTTTTAGTGAATATACTTGCTGGGACGATTGTGTCGTTTCGTCAATCGCAGTTTGTTCCAAGGTGTTCAGTTGGGATTTCTCTCAATGTTGTTTCTTCCAAGAACTGTATCATCCCAGATGTACGTGATTCATTCAATACTTATTCACCTAATGCCGTTTCGTCTCAGTTATAGCCGTTTCTTGTCAAATGCTCCAGTGCTGCTTTGTCCCAGGTCATCAAAAATCTTGAATCA